ACCAAGCAGACCATCAGTCTCCTTAAGCTGAAATTCAAGAACCTGCATCATTCTGATGTGGCTCTCCATTATGTCCCAGCTGCTAGCGCCTGGCTCTCCTTTGAAACAGCCTGCTGCAGTAAAGGCACTTAGCTCCTGGCCATGGAGAAAACAAGATATCCTCACCGAGGAGGTTAAAAAACACAGATGATCAACTAAAACATCTGAAAAAGTGTAAGGGGTCATATTGATGACACAGGGGCATGGTGCAATGGAGGTACATGTTTGAGGATTCTTCTGTGATTGATACACATCAGTTGCCCAACCAACTTTGTCTCATTCATTGCCACTGACTCCTTTAAGATGGTAAAAAAAGACAACTGCACATATAGTGCTCACCAAAAAGTTCTCAGTGTGGGCCATGGTACTCCTACTCTTCTGAAGAGCCTCCGATGAAAAGAACAACACGCAGAGAAAACAGTTTACATCTTTATTCCAAGTATCAGAAACAAGTTGCAATCTTTTCACCTAGTCCTTGTGATGCCCAAGTGTATCTAGCATGTTCTCAATTAGCAGCCTTCATTCCTTCCTCACTGCCAGCTGCTGAGCTTGTCGTCCAATGGTCTTGGCAGTCATCCTCTGGCTGCCAAAGATTTAGTGGACCCCAGCATGGGAGGGGTCCTTACAGGTAAAAGATACCTTGTCTATTGCAACAACCTGTGGTGCAGGTGTCATTTGGCATGCCTCTGAGGAAAGCACTCCTCCTTCCTTGCATGGTACATTTTCACATCCTTGCTGATCCGAGATGAATGACAACTTTATTCCAAGCGCTCTGCAATGCCTTTCATCTTGAGGCTGCTGTCTAAGCTTGTGACAAGGCAATGGCATGCAGGGTTGAGAGAAGTTACAGTCAGCGTTCACACCTGGTTTACTTGACCTGACTCTCCTGCACAGTCACCAGTCTTACTGGAGGAGGTGGCATTCAGGCAGGGAGGGGGCAGGTAGGGGGAGAAAGAGCATCACTCATGACTTTCTTGGACACCTGTTTTGAGCTAGGGCACAGGTAATATTTGAAGCTCCACCAGATCTTCATGCCCTTCACAATACATATCTACTACCTTACCTGACACCTCCAGATACATGGTACTGTAGTGTAATGGGTTAGGTCTGACTGCATCATGTATCTGGAGCTGTCAGGTAAGGCAGTAGATATAAATTGTCTCCTTAGTATATCACACATCATTAAATAATGCAATGACACAAACTTGCTCTCTTGTAGCCTTGCGGCAAGATAAAACCGTAATAATATGTTGTGTAAAACAAATTCATGACATCCTTAACTCTGCAGACTAATTATTCTAGCAGTACACCAAGGACTAAAAATACTATAGTTGATTGTTTGGGGCTTACACTCCTCTGCATGCCAGCACCCTTGGCAGCAGAGCTTATCATGGCTGACATGCTTTTGCCAGCTTGCGACCTTGATTCTAAGCACAGGCCCATACTAAAAGTATCACTAGTGCCCTGCATAACTGAACCGTAATCTCCCTGTATGTGCATTCAGTTCGCCTTGTAGGAAATAATTGCATTCTATTAGCTTTCTTAATTACTTTTATACTAGTATAGTGTGCACTTCTGCTTATGATTTGTACAGCAGTACACCTAGATCCTTTGTGTATCCTCTGTACACCTATGACTGTGTTGCCAAATTCTGAATGAACGCCATCTACAAGTTCGCTGACGAAACCACCATAGTGGGACAGATATCTAACAATAACGAGTCAAAATACAGAAGGGAGATAGAGGGTTTGATGACGTGGTGCAATGAAAACAAATCTGTCTCTCAATGTCAGCAAAACTAAAGAACTGATCATCGACTTCAGAAAGAAAGGAGGACAACACACCCCCATCTACATCAACAAACCTCAGGTTGAGAGAGTGAAGAGCATCAAGTTCCTCGAAGTGACGATAATCAACGAACTGTCCTGGACTTCCCACATAAGTGTGACAGTCAAGAAGGCACAACAACACCTCTTCTTCCTCAGGAAGGTCAGGAAATTTGGCATGTCTGTAATGTCCCTCACCAACTTCTACAGTTGCACCATGGAAAGCATACTGTCCGGGTGCATACAGGCCTGGTATGGCAACTGCTCCACCCAGGACCGTAAGAAACTACAGAAGGTGGTGTGCACAGCCCAGACCATCACGGAAGCCAAACTTCCATCCATGGACTCTATTTACACAGCTCACTACCACAGAAAGGCAGTCAACATCAAAGACCCATTGCACCCTGGTAATGACCTCCTACAACCTCTTTCATCAGTCAGAAGCTACAGAAGCCTGAACACACGCGCAAGCAGGTTCAGGAACAGCTTCCTTCCGGCCATTATCAGACTGTTGAATGGACTTTAGCCTCAAATAATGTAACCTGCAATGTAACCTGTATGTCTCGAAGTCTTTTTGATCTGTACATCCTTTGCTTGCAGTGATCTGCCTATATTGCTCGTAAACAAAACTTTTCACTATATTTCGGTACACGTGACAATAAATCAATCTATAGTTTCACCGTTCGAATAAACATCTTTATTACTGCTGCTAAAATAGACAATTTCACGTTTTCTCATGTTGTACACAATTTGCCAGATTGTCATCACTTGTTCTGTATTTTGCCATCGCCTTAGATGTCTTTAAATTTTTCCAACCTGTGTACCATCAACAAATTTGGCCATCATACATTCCACACCTTCATCCAAATCATTATATTAATTGTAAAATTTGAGGCTCAAATTCTGGTCTTTGTAGCACCGTGATTTGATTCAGGTTGACACAATGACCCATTTTTACATATCTTCTGGCTACTTAACAGGAGACAATCTATTCATGTTAATACATTAGACCCAATACCATGAAATTTTTATTTTCCACAATAACCTTTGACATGGCACTTCAACAAATGCTTTCTGTAAATCTAAGTACATTCACTGTTTCCCTTTATCCACATCATATATTTCTTCCTCAAAGATCTCCAATAGATTGTTTAAACATCATTCCCCTTTGATAATTACCTTGAACTTACCTAAGTGCCTTGTTATAACTTCTGTAAAGGCATTTAACAATTCCCCAATTCACAGATTTAAGCTATTTGGCCTGTTTTGATTTGTCTCCCCTCTGTTTTGAAAAATGTGTTATATTTGCTACTTTCCAATCTAATGGGACTAACTCAGTATCTATGGAGTTGTGTAAAATTAAGACTAATGCACCAACTACCTTACTTACCACTTCTCTTTAGCCCTAAGGATTTGCCTTATCTCTACTCTGATTACCACATCTTTCTAAATTTGATCCCTTGTCCCCATTATTTAGTTTAAAAACCTGTCTGCATCTCTATTTAAGCAATTTGCAGGAGCACAGGCCCCAGCACAGTTCAAGTGTCCCACCATTATAGATCCTACTTTCCCCTGTACTGGTGCTAGTGCTATCTCTCCAATACCAATCTTTGAGCCACACATACACCACCCAAATCTGATTTGCCCTATGCCAGTTTGCAAGTTGCGCAAGTAATGTCCAGCGACTTTAATCTTCAATATTCTGTTTCTTAATTTGTGTAGATCCTGAGCAATTCAAACACCTTTTTGTCCTCTTCATGTCATTGGTACATACATGGATCACAGTGACTGGATCCATCCCCTCCAGCTGTGAACAGGCACACCAGACCCTACCCTCAGGAAGACATCGGTTGTCAGAATTCCAGCTCTTTGCTGCTGAGAATGGTGTCTATCCCTCTGCATATACTGTTCCTCACGACCATGATATTCCATTTAACTCTCCCTTTTGAAAAAGTTCCTGGACCATAGTGTCATTGTCAGTAAGCTCATTTACTCTATATGCCTCACTCATGCAAAAAAACTTTCAAAAAAAAAGCCTCAAACCTGTTGGACAATTGCAAAGGCTGAATTCTTGTGCTCCTGCCATCAGGGATCCCTTACCTGTCTCATTTGCAGTTACTTTCCTTTGTTCCCAAACACTGACAAAATCAGAGGAGCCCATTTTAAGAGGTGGGAAAGTCTGCAGGTAACAGTCTTCTTCCTGATATTGATACTTCAGCCACCAGCCCAAAAACACTGAAACAAGCTGTTCAAACTTCAAGTACTTACAGTCGACTTGGATCTGACTGCCTCCCAGGAGCTCTGTCATGCTGCAGCTGTGATATATCACCCTTACTGCTATCATTAATGTGCCCCAATTTAGTACTTAATTATTTTATTTAATTAAGTAATTCTGACCTGTGTACCATCAACAAATTTGGCAACCATACATTCCATGCCTTCATCCAAGAAAGAACTACTCACCAAATAATTAATATCTTTTCCCATAACTAAATAAGAACCAATTCCTGGAGGCTGAGAAAGTTAGCTAAAAAGAAACAGCTCTTTCCTGCTTCTCCTAACCCCCTTAATCACCCAGCTGCCAGTGCTCAAGTGCTAAGTCACACCAAGTTGGTTATTTATATTTTATTAAATTTAACCTATTTTCCTAACCAACCTTTTCAGAGATGTTACTATCCACCTCTGGAGCAAAGTGGGACTTGAACCTGGGCCTCCCAGTCTAGGGGTAGAGACACTACCACGGCAGCACAGGTGCAACCCCACTACTTGTGTTTATATGCTACTAACACAAAGGCCTAGCTGACCCATTTTTAGCGGTATCAGTTTCAGCTGCTTTCATAAATAACTGAGCAGAATGGCTCTTCCACTGGAAACCTTGTTAATTCTCTGCCAAAAGTTTGTGGCCTTTAGAAGTTAAATTGTAGAATACAGCTAAATGATAATTCTAGACAGCCCTTCTTTGGAGTGTCAGAATGGGTTGAAATAGCCTCCCTCTGTATCGTAATAATTATGATTTTAGGCTACTGTAATGCCGATAGCATTTTTGTGAAATAAAGCCTTTAGAAAACAGTGATTGTTCCTTTTTGTATTGGTTTGATTTTTAACCTCATTTTACTTCTGTTTTGCAATTGCCAGTTGGCTACTACAAAATGACGTTTTGGAGAATATTGAAGAAAATACCTTTGTCAATCTACCCAATCTTAATGAAATGTAAGTAAATAAACTTTGTTACCTTTTATTTGAGAAAAAAAAATCTGTGTTTCCTTCATCATTCACTGTCAATGTTTGTTTGTTTGCTTATGGCCCAGATCTTTCAATCAGAATGAGAAACCCTCGGCAGAATTTTCTCTTCTGAGGCTGGGGGTCGTCGTAGGCCCAAAAAGTGGGAGGGACTTCTGTTAGGGTAGGGTTGAGGAGTTGGGTAGGAAGGGTGGGTTTCCCCACACAATTACAGTTTTCTCAGTTCATTACATATCCATGTGTGGGTAAAATGCCAAATTTTACGTAAAGGAAATTCTGGAACCCACCAGAAGCCTCCAAAGTTTGGGTGCCATATTTCAAAGGAACCCAGCTAGCACTTCATTCTCAGCAGTCCAGAGAATCATTCAACCTCTGCTCATCACCACCAGCCAGCCCGAGAGATGACAGAAACCAAGCTGTGCTCTTCCAGGTACGTGTTGTAGTGATTGTAACAAGGTCAGCCAGATAGACATAATTGAATATGAGTTCCTTGATTCCCTGGTTCAATTAGGGAACTCTGGCTGACAGATATAAATGGGAATGTCAGCCATCCTATTCACTCTGAGAGCTAGCTCTGAGGGAGCTAGATCAGTGTCAAGGACTCTCCACGTGTTTAAAAAAAAGGGTGACTTGGTGATGGGATACCATTTTCTAGTGAATGCTTCATGCTCCTGTGAGAGTGAAGTACCATTGTAAGGTTGCGACTGCACTGCACTGTAAAACACTGGGGGAGATAGGATACCAGGCATCTCCATCAGATACCTTGGATAAGTAATTTCTGTCGCTTCATTAAACCTACCGGTATAAATCTACTGGCACCACAGTTACTGCCTTTCAAGCGTCTGCCAACAATCACATTTAAACATTAAAGGAGCTACAGCACTCAGCAGCTCAAGCACCAAACGATTCCTGTTCTTTCTTCACAACCAGGAGAAAGTGACCTCTGATAGCTTTTCACCATTGGCTTGTGTGGGACAAGGTCACAACCACAAAAGATGGCCTTTTGAGTTCAGTCTCGCTTGCTTTCCCTGGTCAGGTTTGCTGGCATCAGCCAATGTGTTTGTCTTACTTGGGCAGGCTTCTTGGCCCATTTAGGCTTCGCTTCTCTGACTGGGACTTCTCATGAGCTGATCAACCTTGAAAGTCTTCACTCTCACAAAGTAAGCATTTGCATGAAGAAGCAAATCAGTTATGAAGGAGATTTGTAACAGAAGATGTTAGTACTCACTGGAGCTTGGACGAATAAATAGACACATATGTGTAGGTTAGTTGTAAACTGACATCTTTCAAATTATTGGCTAACAAAGTTGCATCCATGAACATCATTCCACTAGGATATGCACCGTTGTTATATATCCATGATATGTTCACGAATGCAATAAAAGTTTAACCCACCTGAAAAGTTCTAAGAACTCACCAGTGAAAGGTTAATCCACTTTTGGGAAACTTGTCTTTTTGTCTCCCTCCTAGAAAATTGTACCATCTCTCATCTTGCTCAAATAAAAACCGTACACTGACCTGCTTTCAATCGTTCTGAACAATAATTCTAGAAGAGGACCCTTCAGAACTGATTCATTGCAGCAAACCTCACAGACAGCAGCACAAAAAAAACACACCAATGCCTGCTTAAGTGTTTGAATCTCTCAAAGTTTCTGTGAAAAGCTAGAGGGAAGGTGAGGGAGTAGGGTAGCAGAGTGTCAGGTGGGTAGAAGGTCTGGGTGGCACATGGTGTAGTAGCGGTGGGTAGAGTGATAGATAGGCAGGCTGGCTGATAAGTAGAGTGGTAGTGTGACAGGTTGGTAACTGGTAGGTTGGTGGAAGGATCAATAGTAATTTGAGTTGCAGGTGGGTAGATTGACAGGTGGCAGGATGGCAGACTGGTGATACAGGTAAGGTGACAGATGGATACCACTAGATAGGTGGGTGGGGGTATAATCAGGCTGGGATGAGAACCAGCCAGGCCATTTTGAGCAGTTGTCATGTCGTGAGGGTAGTTGAAGGGATAGATGGGGTAGTCGGGTCAAAGTGGAGTCAGGAATTCATGGTTAGTTGTGGAGTCAGGGCATTAATTGAGTGTTGAGGGGTTCGAGGGGAGAGTCAGGGAAGTCAGTATGGGAAATTGGAGGAGGGGGATCAGGTGTCTAGTTACCCAGAAGTTAGACTAGGTCTATTCCTGTCCAACGCTTACTGGGTTTCCAGTTAAGAAAGTCGAAACGGCCCAAAGTCTCCAGGGCTCAGGAATTCTTCTCATTGGAGCTTCAAACCTACTGTGCAATTCCCATACAATTCTTGCATTGGGACCTCTCAGGGAACCTGAAGCAGAAGATCTGGACCTATATCTATTTGTGTACAGTGAACAGTTTGTATTCTAGATAAATGCTTAAGAAATTAGGTGTATGGGAAATGGGACACAGCTGAAAAGAGAAGAGTCCAAAGATAGGAGAGGACCTGAGGAGACCGAGTAAAAAGTTGAAAATGGAGAAGAATCTGAAGGCAGAAATAGAATCTCAGAAGATTTCAAGTATGGGGCAATCGAGAGAGCAGAATCCGAAGAATGTCAAAAAGAACCTGAGAAGATTTGAAGCCAAGCCACAAACTGACAATATACTGGAGAGTAAAGTTACAAAAATAGAACACTGCGATAGTTAAAAAGGGAAAAAAAAACAAATACATACCCAGGTCAGACCAGCAAAATAATTCACAGGGCTTGCAGTTGTAGTGGAGAGTTTACTGTTTCCACGACCATTTCGAAAAACAGAAACCAACTGTTACAACTTAACTGAGAAGCGTAAGACAGAATGGTTAGAGAAGGTGATGGCCTAGCATTGTTATCACCCGGTCATTAAGCGGGGGATGCAGGTTCAAATCCTGCCACGGCAAATGGTAGAATTTGAATTCCATTTTTAGGGCCCTCTTGTGGCACAGTGGTAGTGTCACTACATCTGGTCTGAGAGATCCAAGTTCAAGTCTCACCTGCTCCAGAAATGTGTAATAACATCACTGATTAGGTTGATTAGAAAAATAGGTTAAATTAAAGAAAAGACAGAATGGTTTAACACAAAACTATGGATGGAAGAACAAAGAGAGGGGGAACAAAAGTCCAGATTCAGTTTGATCATTGAATTGGAAGACCTAAGTCTTTTCTTGTTTGAGTATTCTTCTTTTTAAGTTTCATTCATGAGGTGCTGTGGGCCATCAACAGAAGCAACATCCAACACAATCTGTAACCTCATGACCTGGCATATTCCCCCAGACAAAGTTTACCATCAAGCCAGGGAATCAACCCTGGTTCAACGGAGCCTGCAGGAGGGCATGCCAGGAACAGCACCAGGTGTACGTAAAAATGAGGTATCAACCTACTGAAGCTACAAAACAGGACCATGCCAAGCAGCATACGCAGGAAGTGACAGAGAGAGAATGAAATCATGACACAACCAATGGATCAGATTTAAGCTCTGCAGTACTACATACATGGTGGTACACAATTAAACAGCTCACTAGAAGAGGAAGGCTCCACAAATATCCTCATCCTCAATGATGCAGGAGCCCAGCACATCAGAGCAAAAGATAAAGCTGAAGCATTCACTGCAATCTTCAGCCAAAACTGTTGAGTGATGATCCATTTTAGCCTCCTCCAGAGACATCTAAAATCGCAGATGTCAGTCTTTAGTGAATTTGATTCATTCGACGTGACATCAAGAAGCAGCTGGAGGCTGTTAGGGATAGGGTTACTGGATATTGCAAAGTCTATGGGCCCTGACAAAATTCGGGTAATAGTACTGTAGACTTGTGCCCCGGAACCTGCTGTGCACCTTGTTCAGTGGATCCAGAGCAAGTACAACACTGGCATCCACCCCTGGAATACCACCACCTGCAAGTTCCTCTTCAAGCCACTCACCATTCTTTCTTGGAAATTTATTGCTCTTTATTCAGTGCCACTATTCATTCATATATCGCTGTACCGTCGCAGGGTCAAAATCCTGGAACTCCCTTCCTGACTGCTTTGTGGGCCTGCCTACAGCATACTGCCTGCAGCAGTTAAAAAAGGCAGCTCATAACCACCTTCTCAAAGGCAATTAGGAATGGAAATAAATGCTGACCCAGCCAGTGACACCAAATGCCATATGCATGAATAATAAAAAAACCTGTAACTAACTGCAGCTCAAACAATCTGAGGCCGATGATCAGCCTGTTTTTCCTGAATTCAAAATCTCTGTTTCAAAATTTGCCCCCTTACTGCTTTGAAAAGTAGATCAGGTGGAATCTCTTCGGGGCCTGAACAATGTGGACTATGGCAGGATTTGTGACAGTAATGTGCTCAGTGTCTGGCAAGACCTATCTTGTGTCGGGAGCAACTTGCTGCATCTTTTACGTATTTGCTGAGCGATGAGGTGAGTTTCTTACCAGGCACTGGTGGGTGCCTGTTGACAGGGATGATTGCTTGTTATTAGCCCCATTAGTTGCACAACTCGCATCATTAATATTCAGCTTCCCATCTTACCACACGTGCCAATGTAGACATTGCGAATTTTTGATGAAGTCAGAGCAGGTACCTGGCAACTTCAACTTGTTGCTTGTTCCTAAAGGAGTTCTGTGTAGCACACCAGGCACTAACAACTCAGGGCATGGTCCATGTAACCAATGTTCAGGAACATTGATATCTGACATGTGGCAGCATCTAAGAACCCTCATGGCACATTTCCAATCCATTTACAGTGCACTTTAATGCTGCATCTCAGAGTGAAACTGCAGCTGTCATTGTAATGCTGCTGGAAGGACACTGTGTGTTCAGGGACATGGACTCAGCTCATGGACTGGACCAGGCTGTCTCTCCATTTGCTCTCATAGTGTTCACTCGCTCTGTGCCTTCCTAAATGCTCACTGCATCCCTGCCTTGCATTGCCTTGACTTACTCTTTCTGCTTTTCCTCTCAACTGGTGATACTAGGTTCACACTACTGCTATATTGCTGTGCTATTTAGCACAGACACAAAGAAGGAAGCTTGTTATTCAGGGCAGCTGTCGTTGCAAAGTGAGGTAATCTTCGCTCTGGGATCCTGGCACTGTGAATCAAGGGGAGTCTCCAATACCAGGCCAGAAGCTTGGGCATAGTCTGTCAGCCACTCTTAGTGTTCAGTGTCAGGATGTGGTCCACCTAATAGG